CTTCACAGCCGACCCGCCGGGTGTTGCTAGGGTAGAAAATTCTCCGACGATCGTGCACGCGGCGCGCGCACACCTGATTGGAATGGATATGAGCAACACATCTCGAAGAACAACAGTTACAACGGTGAGTAACCATCTCTACTGAAGAAGAAAAAGATGAAGAACAAATTTCTTTTGTAGAGAATTCCACAAAAAACTGCCCTTTTCAAAGTGGCTGCCATCTCCCTCTCTTCTGTATTGGACTGAAGCCTTAGCTGACCTCAGTGGTCATTTTGAGAAAAGCATTTGTTCACTGAACAGTGGTACTAAGGCCTGGTGTACACTAGAAGTTATCTGTAAACCTGTGTTGGTTAGGAGTTGATTTTTACTAATATAGTTATACTGGTACAAATCCTAGCATGGGTGCACTTCTACTGGTATAGTTTATTTTGCTTCCTGAACTGGAATTAGCTATACCAGTATGAACATTTCTATACCTGTATAATGGCATCCACCTAGCAATGGGTGTTGGGAGGGAAGTATCTAGTGTAGAGTAAAGTCCTGAGTATCTGCCCCCTGACCACATAAAGCTCCATCATCTTCCCTGAGGAAGCTTGGTTGGCTTCACTCTCATTGCAAATGTAAGATAGTGGCTATTTTACAAAGGGCAGGATTTTTTTGTGAGTTTCTGTTGAAGGAGATTCTATGCACCAGCCTCTGACAGATAAACTTAATTATGAAAAACAGTGGCAAAAATGATCATTAATCCTAAATATTTCTTCTCAAAAGCCACCTGTTGCACCAAATCTACTCAACAGAGAGAAGGAACCATGTGTGTGCAGGGGACTGGAAGGAGCAATTTAGAAGATAGGGAGGAGGGTAAAAATGAGGGGTACACTCGGGTTGTTTTCTGCTGCACTGGCAAAAAAGAGTAGCTGTAAACCTAGCTAAACTAGCCAATATGTCCTGGCTGCTTTGCACTTCTCCAGAGTGGCATAATACAGCTAGAGTGTACCAGTGAATCTATCCATAGCAGTTAAAAGGATGATTTTTCATATTTTCAAATCATTAGAAATATCAAATAAAAGTTCTTTGAGACTTTTGTTTAATGTTGATTTTTTTTTTTAAATCAACAGCCCAAGAAGATTTCAAGACAAACTATATTAAAATGGAGTTAAAATTGAGATTACAAATCAGTATTTAGGATAAATTGACAGGGATGTTGTAATTATTCTCAAGCTAAATGTTCTAAATCCAGGAAATTCAGAGTTAAGATTCAGTGTAAAAATTTAAAATATGGCATCAGGTGGTAGGAAAAAAAAATCTAATGTTGAAAAATTTGTTTAATCTAAGACCACAAACACCAAGGTTTAATCCTAATAATATTTTTTAAGGAGTGTTACTGGGCAGATTTAAAGTTGCTTGGTTGCCCTACCACATTTCCTATCTTAACATGTTTGGATTTCTTTTATGACTGAGTAAATGACTACACAAGGTGCAAGACAGTAAAGATCAGGTCAAATATCTCCAATAATTGAGATATTGCTCTCTTAGAAAGCAGTCTAAATGTGCTGTGATGTATTTGGAAACTGGATACCAAGTCAGTCTCAATTTTGAGATTTGTTTAGTTGCAGGCCAATAGTTCAGGTTTAGTCATATCTTAGTCATATATTTCGGAATAAAATAACCCTTTAGAGAATGCTGCCATAAAGCCTGATTGTTGATAACATGGCTGCCTCTCTGTTAGGCTGAGATACCATTGGGTTTAATTACACAAGCGTCTAAGTTTTAAGTACAGTGGCAGTCTGTATCAGTGTGATCTTTTGGAGCTGCTATTTTGCTTATTCAGTTACTTTTTTCTTCTGAATAATTTGAGTTGTATCAAAAGTGGCTGATCATTCCAGGCTACTTCAGTGAAGCAGTTATTTGTTTCTGTGTGCTGGTAAACCAATAAAAAGGGCTTTTAAGAATAGATAGTTGCTGTTGTTTTACTCAGCACAGTAATCTGAGTGTCCACACGTTACAAAGCAGTATTACAGGAACCTAACGTTGGTGATTGGAAGCCAGTTTCTATTTGTAGACAATTGGAAAAAACAATCTTTTTGTTCTTTAATATTAACTTTTAACATTAAATGTTGTTGAAGCACATCATGCAGGTTGCTGAAGATGCAAATCTGTGTGGTTTTCCTGATGCATATGTTGAAAAGAGATTATACCGTTACAGTAATGTTGTAGTTACTGTAACAGCCATAATTGTGCTTTTCTGCTCCAACAGCTCTTTAAAATAAGTTTAAAAAATGGAGAGGACTCTATTATTTAAAATTTCAGCTGGGTTAGTTCACTCCATTTCCAGATGTCCCAGTACCTATCTATTATGTGGAAAATTAGACGTTGGGTTATCTAACTGATTATAACAGAAACAAATTCTGCTTGCTCTGGTTTTCATGGAAAGATGTTGAGAACATCCAAATGTAGTTTGCACTAGTGCTTATGCAGCTGCTGGTACAGTTATTGCTGGATTGGTTACTAAAAGAATAATTTGAAAACAGTGAAGTTTGGCTGCCAGAACCATTATTGGTGGTAACTCCTGAGAAGGGAAGAACCCAGCTTCCCCCTCAGATCCCACAATTTGCTGTATGTACAATGCAGACCTATTGTGTCCAAGATTATTGTGTAAAATATCATGTATATCTTATGAAATATAGTTGCATTTAGCAAGGACACTTGTATACTGTATTTATCTTTTTTATATTTTACTGACATTCCCCCCTTTAAAAAAAAAAAAAAATCAGGAGCGAATAGGAGAAAAAGGCAGAAAACCAGAAAGATAAAGGAATGGGATGGCTGGGGAAGGGGAAGGAGAGCAACATTTCAGGTTCCATCCACTAGGATAGTTTGCATATCTGATATCCAGAATCTTGATTGTAAGTAATTTTTGGAGTTCTGGTATCCTTTCAAATTTAAGAGAGAAACTGATTTACAGTCTTATTAATTATTACTTTCATGTTGTCTGCTAACCCAATCGCTACAAAAGGTCTAAACAAAAATCAAATTTATTTTGTAATTGCAGTGATTTTAGTGCTTAAGAAAGGAGGTAGGATAGCTGACATTATATCATCTTAGTACTTACCTGCAATTACCATTTTATTTCAATGTTAGCTCTTTCTTGACCAGTCTTTGTATCTATTCGCCCTGTGCAGTGATTTTTTTTTTAAATCTAAGACTAGTAGAAATCATTTTTTGCCTTGAGTAAGCAAGCTTAAATGCCAACTCTCTGTGTGTAAATGTTGTGCATTATGAGCATCATCTAGAGCCCACTGAAGTCAACTGAGGTTCTCTGGTTTCAATGGGGTTTTGGTCAGGCCCTAATATGCTACACACACAAGGGTAATTTGCAGTATAGAAATGTTTCTTGCGACAAAGAGACACTTGAAAATAAACATTTTCTTCTTGTTTTGAAAAGAGAACTGTATCTGTTCTTTTTTTTTATTTTGACAGAAGAGTAGCAGCTCTGAATCCTTAAGTGACAAAGGTTCTGCTGAACTGAAGAAAAGCTTTGATGCAGTGGTATTCGACGTTCTCAAGGTTACACCAGAAGAATACGCCGTAAGCAATCAACAAGTTATCTTTTTGTGGGAATACTTATACTTTTGGTGCTGTTTGTTTTCCCCTCTTAACAACCCAATTTCTCCCCACCTCCCACCCACAGGGCTTCAAAAAGAGGCCCTCTGTGGTTCCTTGGGTCACAGGTGCCGACTTCCTCCAGGCCCTGGGCTGGACAGTACAGGACATACATTTCTGGGGGGGAATCTAAGACTGGGAGTGTGTTGGGGTCACCCTGCAGTATAACCAAGACTGATAAGAGCCTGAGAGTAATCCAGCTATGGCTGGCAGGCTGCAGTTACACACAAACACTCAAGTTGTGGCTTGCATGCTGGAAAGTTGTTTGTGAACAGCCCAAGTAGAAATTCCTTCAGCAGGGCATTGTAAAGCACCTGAAGTTGCAGGGCAGGGGTGACAGCTGCTCATTAGTCTGGATTGTACCCTGGTATGTTACAGAAAGGTGGTTTTATGATTTACAGCATTGGACTCGAGATCTGTGTTGTGTTCATAACATAAGAATGGCCATACTGGGTCCGACCAATGGGCCATATAGACCAGTTTCCTATCTTCTGACGGCGGCCAATGCCAGCTGCTTCAGAGAGAATGAACAGAAAAGGGGCAATGTTGAGTGGTCCAGTCCCACCTTCTGGCAATTGGAGGTGTAGGACACCTGGGGCATGGGGTTGTCTCTATGACCATCTTGGCTAATAGTCATTGATGGACCTATCCTCCATGAACTTATCTAGTTCTTGTTTTTAATCCTGTTACATTTTTGGCCTTAACATCATCCTATGGCAATGAGTTGCACAAGTTGACTGTGCATTATGTGAAGAAGTACGTCCTTTTGTTTATTTTAAATCTACTGCCTATTAATTTCATCAGGTGGCCCCTAGTTCTTGTGTTATGTGAAGGTGTAAATAACATTCCCTATTAACTTTCTCTATCGCATTCATGTTTAATAGACCTCTTGTCATATCCTCCCTTAGGGCAGGTCTACACTAGAAGCACTACATCGGTGCAGCTGCGCCACTGTAGCATGTCTGGTGAAGATGCTCTGTGCTGATGGGAGAGTGTCTCCTGCTGATGTAGTGCCAGAGTGGACAGCGCTTAGGTTGCATCGCACAGCTGGGTGTCTTTTTCACACACCTGAGTGGTGCAGCTTAGATTGATTTAAGTGGTAGTGTAGAACTGCCTTTAGTCATCTTTTCTAAATTGAACAGTCCCAGTCTTTTTAATCTCTTCTCATATGGAAGCTGTTCCATAGTCCTAATAATTTTTGTTGCCCTTGGGCAAGTCACTTTTACTTTGCCTCAGTTCCTCATCTGTAAAATATGGTTTATAATACTTGAATTATAATATCATTTGAGCAAGATTAGCTCCAGGTTTTAGCTCCTCAGTGTGAAACTGGTAGAATTCCCTTAGGTCATGAGGATTGGTAACCTTTAAGGGCAGCAGTAGTGGTGTAGAGCAGTGGTTTTCAAACTTTTTTTCTGGCGATCTAGTTGAAGAAAATTGTTGATGCCCGCAACCCAACGGAGCTGGGGATGAGGGGTTTGGGGTGTGGGAGGGCCTCGGGCTGAGGTGGAAGGTTGGGATGCAGGGGTGGGGCTGGGGATGAGGAGTTTGGGGGGGGGGGGTTAGGTCTGTGGCAGGGGGTTGGAGTGTGGGAGGGGGTCAGGGCTCTGGGCTGGGGGTGCAGGGCTCGGGGGGGGGAGCTGGGGATGAGGGGTTTGAGGTGCAGGAAGGGGCTGAGTTTTTTGGGAGGTGGCTGGGGTAGGGGATTGGGGCACTGGTTTACCTCAGGCAACTCTTGGTCAGCGGTGCAGTGGGGGTGCTAAGGCAGGCTTCCTGCCTATCCTGGCACCACGGACTCTGCTGCGCCCCGGTAGTGGCCAGGGGCAGGTCCAGCTTCTAGGCGGAGGTGCACAAGCGGCTCCGTGCAGCTCTTGCCTGCAGGCAGGCTCCCCCCCCCCCCCAGCTCCCATTGGCCGGTTCATGGCCAAGGGGAGTGTGGAGCCCCGTGGCCTCTGTGCCTAGGAGCTGGACCTGCTGCTGGCCACTTCCGGGGTGCAGCACGGTGTCAGAACAAGTAGGGACTAGCCTGCCTTAGCCGGGCAGCACCGCTGACGGGACTTTTAATGGCCCAGTCGGCAGTGCTGACCAGATCCACCGCGACCCAGCGCTTTAGATTCCGCCACCCAGTACTGGGTGGCGACCTGCAGTTTGAAAACCACTGGTGTAGAGTGTAAGCTGGATGTCCTCTTTATAATAGCCTTTTCTCCGAATGCTTCAGTTAGTTCCTTCTTGATCTATAATTGATGCAGAAACTCCTTATTAGACTGTGCATCTGCATTACTTCAGTTCTTCTGGAGATGCTCATGTATCCTTATAGCACTTATCCGTACTTTTCCAGTCTTATGCTAAGGAACTGAGGTCTGTCTGTCTAGTACAAATGCCTAAATTCCTTTTGAGAACATTGCCTTGAATGCTCCCACATATTCTGCAGTGCTTCAGTACTTCTTTTTGAGGGAGGAGGTTTTGGTGCTTTTTCACAGTGTTCTGGTTCCTACCCTGACATGTCAGTTTCTGCTTTGATATGCCAGACCCTATTTAGATGTGTTTTGGTTTGATTTCGTTGCTGAGACTTCAGTGTCTGTCCTGGTAGTGAAGCACAGTATTTTTCTCCAATGTGTGACTTGGGGTGGTCCAGCATATTGGTTTTGGGGATTTCAGGTTTCTTAACATATTGAGACTACTTGGTGCTCTCAGCATTGGGAGGATCTTTTATCAGTCTCACTGACTGTCTGACGGGCTTTTTAATGCTTCGGACCTGTCTTTCAGATATGTTTTTGAAGAAGGAAGTATTGACTTTAGTGGCTTCAAACCGTAGTAGAACTATGTCCAGAAGGAATGGCAATGTTTTTATTGTGTTTTCTGTCTTGTAGCTTAATAGGATACTCAAGGATGTCAGATTTCCTGTGGATATCATCTTATGCACTGAGAAACTGTGCATGATACCTCCAAACCCTCTTTGAAATCTTGGTATTGGTGTGGGATAGCGTTTCCCCTCTGGAGAGAGACCAGCTGTAGGAGCAGGCAGCCAGTCAGTTCTCCAGCTTCCTGGGGGGGTGTGAAGTCAGGCTCCATCCCTGGGACGGTGGGTGGCAGGCTCCAGCCATGGGGCTTCTGGCTCTGTTCTCTGGCTGCGTGGTGGTGGGCTCTTGCCCTGAGCTCTCTTCCCCCCCCCCCCTCATCACCCTTGGCTCCCACTGTCTCCCCCAGTGCCCCATCATCCCTGGTCCCCACTCCCTCCGTACCTATCTCTCCATCCAGGGCTTAATTTGTCCCTGGGCTTGTCAGGGCTAAGTAAGTCTGCTGTGAAGACTGATATTTGTACGTTTGTTAATATCATATTTCATAGCAGATTTAGTAAGCTAGCAAGTCTTAAGAAACAAAACAACCAAAAAAGCAAAATAAACAATTAAAAAAAAAGACAAGAATGTGCAAAGCACCTTATTTGTGTTTCTATTCTATTTCGGTCCAGTAAAGAATAGAGACAGCAGTTACTTTTTTTTTTTATTGTCTCCAAAAAAACCCCCCCCAAACCTAACTAAATAAATTACCATGATTTGGATATGTATATGTGAATATTTGTTTTTCTTAAAGTTGTTAAAATATTTTAGGAAAAATTGTCAGAGCAGCCACCTGCAAGAGTTGGTGGCCACACTCTGAGGCCACCAAAAAATTTGTTGTGAGAACCCCTGATAGTCCTCACTCAATTCATAAAACCAACCTTTGAACCTATGAGTGAGTGCTCCCTCTTAATCTATTAAACAGTGTTCATCATAGCAATACATTTTCCCAGAAGAGTAAGGGAACTGCAGGCTTTGATGGTGGATTCACCATTTACAGTTTTCCACAAACACAAAATGATCCTTCGTCACATCCTATATTCCCGCCCAAAGTGGTAACTAACTTCCCTCAAACAGTAAGTTGCTGTACCAGTATTCTTTCCCAGCTTTCATATGCACTTGCATAAATAGAGACTCTACACATTACTCTAAAAGAGCATTATCTTATTATTTAAAAAGTACCAAAGGCTGCAGAAAATCCCCATATCTCTTCATATCCTTTAGAGAATTGTAAGGGTCAGGCTATTTCTTCCCAATGCTTCTCCAGATGGGTTAGGGTTATGTATTGAAGAGAATACAAGCTAGACCCTGTTCCTCTTCCTGTGAGGGTTAAGAAATGCTCCACTCGGATTAAGTCAGCCTCTTTGTTATGCTTTAAATGTGTCTATTATTGAAATCTGCTGAATTGCAACTTGGAGCTCTATACACAAATTCACTAAATATTATTTCTTTAATTTTAACATCCATGTCCAATGCACAATTTGGTAGAGCAGTTTTTCCAGTCACAGTTGAATTAACCAGTACTGTGACACAGAATTCTATCAGACTATCTCTAGAGTAGGAACGTGTAGAGGTCACTTGGAGCAGCACTCACTCACTCTTACATTCCCCTCGTCATCAGAGTTCTTATTACAGGCCTGGTCCCCACTAAGTCCCCACTTCGGACTAAGGTACGCAAATTCAGCTACGTTAATAATGTAGCTGAATTCGAAGTACCTTAGTCCGAACTTACCGCGGGTCCAGACGCGGCACGGATTTTCCCCCGTCGATGCCGCGTACTCCTCTCGCTGAGCTGAAGTACCGGCATCGACGGCGAGCACTTCCGGGATCGATTTATCGCGTCTTAACCAGACGCGATAAATCGATCCCAGAACATCGATTGCCTGCCGCCGGACCCTCCAGTAAGTGAAGTCGTACCCACAGTTGCAGACCTGAGGAAATTGTGGAAGGAACTTATTGCCACACTCCCTTTTATAGCCTTACCCTCAGAACATTTGGGAATAATGAGGAGCAGCAGGAAGGCATGTGAGAGTACTCCAATGACACTTCTATGAAGTGTTCCTTGGAGTTTGAATGTGTAGGGTCCATCTG